AGACACCTTCAAGCGAGCACTTCAGAAATCCAAAGGGGAGGGTACCACGGGAGAAGTCCTGGAAATGTTTCCACTAAACTACAGAGCAACACTAAATCCCAATGTCCCAAACGGTGCGTCTCCGGTCGAGGCAATGTTTGGAAGAAAAACTCGTACACCGTTCGACGTAATCCTCCCGGAGCGTTAGAGAAAAACACCCTTTGAAATCGCTCACCCTACAGCAATGGAGCTACAGTTCAACCACCGCCATGGTACGCTGTATTGATCGTTTGTGGGAGGCCAAAATGTTTTGGCGAGGGACTACCGCAATAACGAAGAAAGGTGGACACTTGATAGAGGGTAGACCCGAACGACAGTAGCCCCCTCCCCAGCCAAAAATCGCCGTAAGATACTGACTACTCTTAAATACCATGGAGGTACTTGTATTAGAATTTTATTTTAGAAGACTGGAAAATGAATATTAAGATGTATTAAAGTGAAAAATATACAAAAACAATCGACGTGATAACATTCACTGATGTCTTTCAAGAAAGTTTCCGTATCCATCTCGATTTTTGAGGGTAAAAAGTGAAAATAATGCCGTTACAGAACCAAGTCCAAGTGATCCCACCTCCTGTACCCAACAGAGCCTAAAACTGCCTTCAGTATCCACTTTAACGGGCTCCAGTAGGCCTCTGTTTCCTTTGCTTCTGTTATACATCACAAAAACCCAAACGTTTTCAGATGGTCTTTCAAGTCTATATTTACATTTATTCAGAACAGCTTCATTTTTTCACAATTCTGGACGGACAACGGGCTGTTGGTTTAGGCGAAGAAGCTTGCATGAACACAAATATTTCCAGGTCGAAATACGCTATTAACACCACATGAAGAGTGCGATATTTCGGAATTTTCAAAAATGAGTGAACATTCAAACAAATTACCGCTATTAGATATAATGTTAGGACATGCAAGTTTTAGATTTGTGTATTATGTCTTTCATGGCATAAATTTTCATGTGAAAATTATTCAGCTAGACAACGAAATGAAAAGGTTTCCCTGGAGGCGACTGTCGTTCAGGTCTACCTGGCAGAGTATATGAACGCCTGGGAAAAGTCATCTATGAAATCTTAATTGGCTCTGAAGTGTGAGTGCGGCACGCCAACCAGCTAAAACCAACAACCTACAATGATGAACCCAACCCCGAACCGAAATTGTCGCTGAACATATTAATGGATACATTCGCCATGCCAGTTCCCAGCCGTGAGATACAAAAACCAGCACCCTTAGTGAAGGCCCAAGAATTCGGGCAACCTCGACGACGAAGGGGTCGCAAGGGTACAGCACCTAGCCGTTGTAAGTCAACTTGAAATTACGATCCTACGCTCAGGCGTCGAGCTGAAAAGGGGAGGTGTTTGGACGGAGCTTAAGCAACCCGTCCGATCGCGTACGCCTCGGAGTCAGGCCACACGTACGTTCCAGACGGGCTGAACCCGAATGGATGATCACAACGTGTCAGCCCATGTCTGTCCGATCGATCAATCAATATAGCAAGGGCGCAATCTGATTGGTGAGGCACTGTGCCGTTCTCGTATACGTGACTTGTTCTATATATTTGCCTATCGAAATCTAATCAAAAAATGCACACTGATTGTTGTCTTTAGCTGTGTTCTCTCTCCGCGTTATCGTGTGGGGTTAAGCAGGAGTCGCTCTTGTCATTCGTACGTCAAGTCTAAACACAACACAAGCTATCTCCAGAACTGCTTGATTTGTCCTACTCTATGTATGTGTAAGTGAATGATGCGAATCGCTGAAGAAGAATACCTTAATATTGTACTATTCGTCTCGTTTGTTTCAATCCCCCCCCCCTCATTTCCTAGTTTACTGATCGTCTTTTGAGAACAACCCTTTATTTGAACTACCTCAGTTTAAAAGTCCTCCGGTAAAACCTGTTTCTCAAGCCTCAGTCATTGCTCGGGTCGCTCTCTCGTAGACTTCGACACAGTTCAAGCAGAGCACACAGATCTCGTCCGTCGTATCATACATTTATGTTTGATGTGCCTTGCAGTCCATCGTTTCACGAAGGATGGAAAATGTAGAGCAATTCCCTAGCCACCGGAGCGAGAACAAGCATCATCACAGAACCGGGTTGAATTCAATTGTTTTGCGTTATCTCTCCAGCTGTGTGTAAACGTTCATGTGAAAATTTGATTAGAACGATGAAAAATCTTCAAACACCAGAAACACTCAGTGCTCAACTCAAAGATCAGTCCCATCTGGGTGGGACAGAGGGAAGGGGTCGGAGAACATGTTTACGCATTTTACATACTCTAGGAGAGTCTCAGATCCTCCCTTATAGGGACTCTCCGTGTGTCTAATTCGCATTCCAGCACAATAACCATTTTTGGGTATCGATATAGTAGTTATGTGTACTTCCTAGTTCTTTTTAATAAAAAGGAATAATAAACCAATGCCCCATTGTAGTTAAGGTTTTAATTTTGATCAGGATAACTGCAAAACCCTCCCAACATTGAAAAACAACCAGTTGAAGCGTTCTACCAGATGTAGTGCAGCAGGTACGCGACACAACCGATCTAGTTCGAATTTGTTGAGGTGTACGAGGCGAATGCAACGGAGACAGAAGTGGACATTGCTATGAAACCCTCAAGGCGGAGAGGAGGCTCGGGTACGAAACCTCAGTGGTGGACTGTGTACCCCGTTTAAAAATTAAAAGTTTATAGATTACAAAACCTCTTGGGCTTGTAATTTCAGTGGCTCTCTTTATTTCTTCCATATTTTAATGGGACGGAACTGGGGACGTGCGAGAGTTATACCGCTAACATTCGCTTCATGAAAAACCTTTTCTTATNNNNAAATAGTATTGGCCTCTGAAATCCTCAGTATGGTCGGGGGTGGGTGTTTAAGATTGCGGTCGGTCACCCTTCCGTTGCACCTCGCGAAATGCTCCCATTAAACCAAGCGTCTCCAATAGCCTCTGCTGAGGAAGCCTTACTCACTGCCTTCTCGAGGCGGAGGTGTTTGCCCCACAAAGTGAGAGGACGAATAGCCGACATCCGGGGCTATAACGGGGTCGGTAGACCATTGGTAGTTCACCTAG